CAGGATAGAGAAAAGTGCAAGGAGAACTCTGGCTAAAAAGATTTTTTTTTTATTGATGACTTCACGTATGTACAGTACGAGAGAATTACAGAGAATAGAAAGTACATTTTCAAAGCTCTACCGGACGAGATATATATATAGTTCAGTTTACTATATATAACATTACCAGATTTAACCATCTACTATATATAGCTATTTACTGTATATAGCTTTATCAGATTTAACCATCTACTATATATAACTATTTACCATATATAGCTTTACCGGACATAGCTTTACCGGATATAGCTTTACCAGATATAACCGTTGACAAAGCTATAAATAAGCAACAGGCTCCATAACCTAACAATTCTCCCACTTGGAGACTGATCTAGTCAACTAAGAATTTCATTCTCAAACGACCATGAGCATCTTCATGGCACCATATCAATTGAGGCTTTGCACAACCTCAATATTCCAACATCAACACATTTTGTCAACATGTTTGCTGGATTCTTTGCACCCTTTATCTTCTCCAAACACATCACCATATTTCACTAACCTACAAGTGAAATGGTATCGTCTTTTGTGTTTTCTCTTTAAATGATATACCGGGTTCCTTCGTCAACTGTATGACACTCTGACTATCTCTATAAAGAATATCTTCGTGCTACTTCTTGCTCATTCTTCCAGATAGTCAGTCCTCCATATCGTCTTCTTTCCACCTTCAGCTATTGTCACGTACTCAGTCTCAATACAACGCATTTTTGAAGCCTAGACGTCCCATCATCCATGACTTGCTCCCACTTGGTTGTATATTGCAACTGTAGGGCCTCCTCAAAGGGTTGTGGTTCCCTTTCATCAGCAACAGATAGTGTAATGAAGGTACATACATATCTGGTACTCTGATAGTACAGGATGATCTTCTCAACACTGGTTCAGGTGTCACTTGCTTCTACTGCTGGTTCCTCTGCAACAACCTCAGGAGTTTGTTGAGTATCTGCTACAAGATCACTAGGTGATTTTTTCCGCAACTCAACCTCAACTCTCACTTGCTTTGTTGTCTTAAAACCTTGCTCCACATCTGGTTCCTCAGCAGTAGTCTCAGGAGTTTCTTGAGTATCTGCTACAACATCACTAGGTGAGTTTCCTTGCAACTCAAGCTCAACTCCCACTTGCTTCGTGGTCTTGGAACCTTGCTCCACATCTAGTTCCTCAGCAGTAGTCTCAGGAGTTTCATGAGTATCTGCTACAACCTCACTAAGTGAGTTTTCCTGCAACTCAAGCTCAACTCCCACTTGCTTCATCGAACCTTGCTCCACATATGGTTCCATTTCCAACCGCACTTTCTTCAATTCTCTGGCTGTCCTTGTGAAGCTAACTCGTTTCTGATTGCTCATAACGTAGTTCTCACAACGACCCACATCAACAAATTTCAAAACTTCTAAAACTCCTTTCGCAGCCAGCCTCTTCATTCCTTTCGCGCTCATATGTTCGAGTCTATTGTGCCGTAGACTTGAATTTGAAGCACTCTTAGCAACAGCAGCTATGTTTATACACCCTGCAGTGGTGTATAAGGTTCCGAATTTTCAGCCACGTGCTACCACCGTAGCACCCTTCATAATCTTCCACGAACTCTTCCCTAACTTTGTTGCATAACCTGTGCTGTCCAACTGACCAATAGAGATCAGGTTCCTTTTGAGACCAGGAATATACCTGACATCCTTTAATGTCCACTGATTTCCTGCCGAAGTTTTTATACAGACATCTCTTTTTCCTTTAATCTCCAAATCTTTGTTGTCTGCAAGATACACCTTCTCGAAATTTTCAGACTTGAAATTCCTGAACAACTCTTTATTTGGAGACGAATGAAAAGATGCACCTGAATCCAAAATCGCGGATTCAATCGAACTGTCCACGCTGAGGATTAGCGCATCCCCAATGTCTTTTGCTGAATTTATAGAATCATCATCATCTTCAGATTTGTGATTCTGCTTCCTCTTTGGTCTTGTACAACTTGTCCGAAAGTGACATTTTTCTCCACAATTCCAACACGTTACGTTTGGTCTATTTGGAGATTTTTCTTGGTTCTTTGATTTTGATCGCCCTTTATTTGAGCCCTTTGGTTTACTTCTTTCCCATTGGTCAACACTGAGAGACTACTAGATGAATTTCCAATTTCTCGTTTGCGAGTACTTTCGCTGAGAACTACATTTCGAATTTCATCAAATTTCAGTTTATCATATCCTCACGAGCTGCTGATTGTGGCAACAACAGTATCTGATAAGATAAGGAACCACTACAAGGGGAATAAGATTCGGATTACCTTGTTGATCGAATATCTCAAGGCAAGAACATTGTTTGAGATTCGAATCACTCCACAAGCAAGATCGATCATGTCGAGCTTGAATGATTCTACATGCAACCTAAACTACATAGAATTGCAAAGAAACTTAACCAGTGGCTAAAGAAGAGCACAAATGCTTCTTTTACTAAATTTTCCAAGTCTTCTTACAAATACAATATACATAGCTTTATATAGCTTCAAAATGAAATTACTAAGGCATTCCAAGAGTTGTTACATTCATACTTAATGGCCATAATTAACCATTATGTAATTGTAACCTAAAGTAAATAAAAACTCTTAAAATACATTAATGAAATACAATAACTCTAAATTGTAATCCACCCAAAATTTATCACATGAAACTTCATTTTTCTTCAATGTGGGATGAATTGAAATATCTTTTGATAATTTCAATAATATTTTCTTCACATCTTCATTGAAGCATATTGTATGATTGATGTCCCTTGGTTCATATCAGTATCCCACGACTCGGGTAAAGATGACATCAAAATCAATGTTTTAATTTCATCCTCGAAATTAATTTCCACCGAACTCAGTTGATTTATGATCATATTTAATTCATTTATATGATCAACAACAGAACCACCTTCAGACATCTGTAGGTTGAACAATCTCCACATCAAATACACCTTGTTCATAGCCGACAGTTTTTCGTACATATTCGACAGCGCTTTCATCAGATCTGACGTTGTCTTCTCCTTGATGATGCTTAAAGCCACGTTTCTGGATAGCGTCAACTGGATCATCCCTAAGGTTTTTCGATCCTTGAGCTTCCACTGCTCCGTGGTCATGGTATCCGGCTTCACCCTGAACAGAGGTTCGTGAAGATCTTTCTGGTACAGATAATCTTCAATCTGCATCTCTAGAAACCGAAATTGGATCCATCGAACTTCTCAATTCCAATCTTTGAACTTTCCATCTTCATAGATCGTGGTGAATTTCGCTTAGCTCTGATACCAGTTGTTAGGATCGCACAACAATGCACACGCTCGATCTAGATGAACACAAAGAACAGGATAGAGAAAAGTGCAGGGAGAACTCTGGCTAAAAGAATTTTTTTTTTTTTTATTGATGACTTCCCGTATGTACAGTAAGAGATTACAGAGAATAGAAAGTATATTTTCAAAGCTCTACCGAACGGGATATATATATAGTTCAGTTTACTATATATAGCTATACTAGATTTAACCATCTACTATATATAGCTATTTACCATATATAGCTTTACCGGATATAGTTTTACCAAATATAGCTTTACCGGATATAACCGTTGACCAAGCTATAAATAAGCAGTAGGCTCCATAACCTAACATACAGTTGACAATTGGGCACAACTGTGTGTGAACGAAATAGTAAGACTACATGGAGTTCCAGTGTCTTTAGTATTGGATCGAGATCCACGCTTTACGTCAGCATTCTAGCACAGACTTCAAAAAGTACTGGGTACCCGCCTCGATTTTAGTACCGTATTCCACCCCCAAACGAATGGACAAATGGAGCACTTAAACCAAATTTTAGAGGACACGTTACACGCTTGCATATTAGATTTTAAGGGAAGTTGGGATTCCAAACTTCACTTGATGGAATTCTCATATAATAATAGCTTCCAAGCCATTATAGGAATGACACTGTTTGAGGCCTTCTATGGGAAACTGTGCAGGTCCCCACTATGTTGGGATGAAGTAGGCGAGAGAGAGTTAGTAGGACCCGAGCTGGTTCGAGTCACCAACGAGGTTGTCCAAAAAATTCAAGCGAGGATGTGCACCACTCAAAGTAGACAGAAAAGCTACGCCGATGTAAGACCTAGAAGCTTAGAGTTCGAGATAAGGGACCTAGTATTCCTCAAGATGACACCTTTGAAAGGTGTCTTGAGGTTCGGACGTAAGGGCAAGTTAAATCCTATGACCATTCGAGATTCTAAAGCAAATTGGTCCAATAGCGTATAGTTAGCCCTACCTCCCGCCCTCTCAGGAGTGCACGATGTATTTCACATGTCGATGCCGAGAAAGTACATTTCATCATATACATATCATACCATAACATATTGCATCACAATATATCATATCATAAACATATCAATTTATCACACATCTCATTCCATGATTAATAAGCACATTTCATTCAGTAACTCACCGTTACCATATTTCACCATATTAACTAGTCATTAAAATATGGAGGTTATGAGTATTTCTCATTAACTAGCCAATTTAATTTGGGAGTTATGTGTCACATATGTTAGGATTGTAAAGGCTATATAAAGCTTTTTTTTTTCAATAGAGACATTTTAGCAGCTAAGTTTTTTTCTTTCCAAATTCTTGTGTTTAGAACTTGCATGCTAGATGTAACGACCCTAATATTTTACCTATTTAATCTGAGGTCATTACTATACCTTGGAATGCAGAATATACATTAAATGGGCCCTATTCATAAATACGACTCACTCTCGCCTTTTATTACCTTATGAAAGAGAAAACGTTTATAAGGAAAAGAACAGAACATTATTGAAAATAAAGGAAAAACAACAAATCTAAAATGAATGTTTTATTCTACCCTATGATTTATTATGCAACTATATTTCAACCTATACTAACCTATACTAATGATGCAAACTGAATTCGGCCTAGACTACGAAATGGAAAAAATAAACGACTATCCTATGCATGTGCCACGGTCCCGAGGTGTACGATGCCGCCGTCGTTGTCACATGGGTGCCTTGCCCTTATCTGCAAAAGTAAAGTAGCACGAGAATTGAGTATTTCTAGAATACTCAGTAAGTGACCCCCTATCGGGGTTATGCAACAATCACATGCAATGAAATGATGGGACCTATCGTTTCGTTTCATTTCATTTCGTTTCGTTTCATTTTTCCTACGGTGTAATCCTAACAGGTAATCGTGGACGTGTACCATATACTCTACACGCAGCCCATACGTGCAAGTATGGGCTCACCAGCTAGTTCGCACACTGCTGGGCCACTGTCCCTAGCCGGTAGGCATACTCTGGCAGCCCCTTATACCGGGACCCGTTAAAACTAAAACCGTCACGGCAACGCTATGCAAGGCATAACGATCGTTGTCCTACCATTGGATGTACGTGTCAGTACCCTCGTGATGGGATAGGGGTATCCCCCCAAATGCATGAACACACAATATGCATGAGGTCCCACTAGTCCTATAGTTATCATTAGTGAACATAACCCCGTGTCACGTTTTCATGCTTACATGTCATTCTCATTCTCATTTCGTTACATATCATACATATTCCTAGCACGGTTATGTTTCATGCAATTTACCATATTTCATGTCATACAATTCATACAATTACATTCAAATATTCATACAAACAAGCCATAATCGTACAAGGGCCACACATCGACACATGCATAACATATCACATCAACTAAGCAGCATACATAACATACATTCACATTCACATGATTTCGTACTTAAGGACATTAAGCTAGCATACAATTTAATGACACGTGCACATCCACGGGCACGTACCAACATATAACAATTAACATGTAACCTACGACGGGTGAGCCACTTACTTGGTAGGCCTTAGCCAAAGTACTCCCTAGAATATAACGTAAGCTCCTAGCTCCTCGTGAACGTTCTATGCTTTCGTTGGTGGTTGGTTCCTATTGGTTCATTCATCACTTTCGTTAGTATTTCACAAATAATAATAAATTCCCAACTGGAATTTGTGAAATACGCCCTTAAAATGTTCCATTTTACCTTAAACAGGGCCGAAACCAGGTCCAGGAGGGTCGGAACGGTGTCAAACGGGTTGAAAACAGGTTTTCCGAGCCGAATAAGCCGCCGGAGCTGAGGAGCCGCCGCCGAAGCCGAGAGGAGACGCGCTACAGACGTTCCAAGTGGCACAATCAGAGAGCGACGCGTGTGCAGGAGACTCGGGTCGAGGCGCGGGTTAATGGATCGCTCGCGGGTCTCGGGCCAAACGCGGGTGACGGGCCATTTGCGGTGATGGGCCAGTTCGCGGGTGAAGGGTCGGGGTGTTTGGTCAACAGGAATCGTCGGTCTGGACCGACCGAAGGAATGGGGTTCGATTCTGGTTGCCGGATCCGGCTTTCGGGTCGGACTTCGTCCTCTTCGCCCGACTGCCTAGGTGATTTTCCGGCGATCTCTCTCTCTCCTCGACAACGTCGTCTCGACGTCCTTTTTCCCTCTTTTTTCCTCCATTCCCGAGATTATTCTTCACCCTAACCCCGTTTTTGGTACAGATTTTATTGGTAAGGACCTCACACTCCCGGATCTGGAGAAGCTCGAAAGTCCGTCGTTTTGTCTTCCTTGCCGACGGTGTTCAACGTAAGGGACTCGTCTAAAACCTACTCCTGAGGTGTGTAAAGGGTTGTGGGATTACTTTTGTGGTGTAAAATGGGGGTTTTGACGTCGATTCGTATGGTTCGGCTTCGCCGGAGTTCCGTCGGTTTTCTGTTCCTTCTCATTTTCTTTTCACTGTTTTCGTTTCTTTGCAGGTTCTCCCAGGGTGGCTGAAGGTCGGGGACGCGATTTGTGGCATTCTAGCCCTCGGCCGCCCTTTGTGGGTCGTGTGCGTTCGCCAGAGTTTTCGGCTCTGCCGACGACCCTCACTTTTTCTTTTTCTTTTTTTGTGGTTCCGTTAAACTAGAGTCATTCAAGTGGTATTAATCAAACCTTTTGTGGAGTGATTCGAATCACGAGTTTTCTTTACTCTTGATCTTGATCATCAAGGCAATTCGTTCCCTACTTTCCTTTAGTGATTCCATATCACTTACATTTCAAGATAATCAAATTTTGATTTTTTTCACCGTACCTTTTCAAAATATTGATATCAGTTTTTTCGTTAATTTTTGGAAACCACGAGTTTAGAGTTTTCACCCTAGGGTTTCACATTGTCAAGTAATTAATTCAATTCTACCCGATCTTTTTATTCTTATTTTTTGCTCAAGTACTATTTCTTATACATATAGAAAGAGTCTAGATGTTGTTGAAATTTAGTAAGTTGTAACCTAATTAAACATATCACAAAAATTACAAGACAATGAATCTATTTTTTTTTTTTTTTTGTTCTTTTAATTTTCATACATTTCAAAATCATCAAATTTTTACTTCACCGTAACATGTCAAAAGATCAACTGAAACTTAACTTTTTTCTATTATTTGAAATGATGTTATTAGGAAACTCATCGTTTTTCGATTATTTGAAATGACGCTATTAGGATTTTTGCTCTAGGTTTCGTATTTCCATGTCATAAATTCAATGATACATGATTGTTTTCTATGGAATATTTATTTTATTTCTATTTCTTGTACATATAAAAAGAGTCTAGTACGAAAAATTTGGTTTTCAAAACTATTTAAAATGACGTCAAAATTTCGCTAATTGCGTAACCTAACGAAATATATCGCAAAAATATCCCTAAATAAAAACTATTTCTTTGTGTTTTTTTTACTTCTCATAGGTTTCAAATTATTGACCGAAATTCAATTTTTTCGTCCATTTTTGAAATCCACATGATTAAAGTTTCTTAGTACCGAATATTAATTCATTTTGCTACACGTTTTTTCCATCTGAATTTTTGCTTTATTACTATTTACTTTAGAACTTGAATTGTATTACCTATTATAAACTTTTTTATAATTCATATTATATAGTTTTCTAATGGTATATGCCTACTCAATTTTATTTACAATAGAAGCTCATCTTAATGGCCAACAAAACCCACAAAACCCACAAAATTGGATGCCAATGGAGAAGAGACAATGAGGCAATTATTGGAGTAGTTTGTCAGTTGTGTTAAAAGTAAGAGAAATAAGATAGATTTTGTATATATGCAAAGAGTTTGTGAGAGGTTTTTTTTCAAGGGGAGACCTTTTATGTACCATGATCACTCTATTTATAGAGTCATGTTTGAATGTTTAAGCAAATTTGAGATCACCAAATTTTGACACTCAAAATTACACTCAAATGTTTGGGATTATCTGGCAAGCATGCACGTTTGAGTACCAAATTTTAACACTCAAAATTCCACTAAAATTGGTGGGGTTTATTTGACAAGCATGCAAGTTTGGTTAAACCAAATTTTGACACCTCAAAATTCCACTAACTCAAACATAGATTTTTCCATTAAATGAAGTCAACATCTTGACTTTCTTCATTTTGATTCAACAATTAATTTGAATAATTAATTTCAAATTAAAGTAATATTAAATGATTAATTAAACTATTTAATTAATATTTAATATTAATTCAAATGCTAACCTCAATCAATTCCGACACATATTTGATTAAGATATTTAAATCTTATTTAAATATATCAGATTCTCTCTTCTTGTTTAATTCGTAAATATAACAAAAATGTGGTTAAATATATCGTATATATGTAGCGCATATTCCTTAATTTGAATTTGAACACTTCGAACTCACTCGTCACACTATTCTATGGTTTAGTCCGATATGAGCTAGCAGAGGAACCTAATGGACCTATAGATCATGGGCTCCAACGATCCAAGATTAATCGGTTAAACTCATTAACCTTGTTAACCAACATTCGTTAACCACTAGGACACTCCACTATAGCCTAGTAGTTGCACTCCCCTCACTATATATATATTTCTGTCCATTTGATATAACCATGATTAGTAAGTCAATCCTTCACAGGTTGTTCGTAACTAGAGTTGGGTCAATTTACCATTTTACCCCTGAAGTTACTTCTTGTTCCTTATGTCTCACTAATCCTCTAATGAACAATTGGTTAGTCCAATCAGTAAACCGAATCCCTCTCAGGCCAATGAGAGGGTGCAGCCTCTTGTTCAAGACCTGGAGTCAATGCTTAAGGGAACTACCTCTCTTCTATCCTTAAAAGTGGGTAGAAGTGAACTCCATCTTGCACCCCACGTTCCCAGCCATTCACCTAGTCTTACCCCTGAAATGGGAGGCTTATTGAGTTGGCGAACTCGAGCTACTCTCACCCATGCAAATCTAAGGATAATTCCGAATAAACAGGAGTTCATGGTTAGCTCAGGATTAAAATCGAGTTACCTAGGTCATCAAATGAAAATAAAATCAGTCTCAACAGTAAACGACATTATAAAGTGAGAGTGATTTTCTTCATGGTCCGATCTTATGCAATACTCGTTGCATAGGACACCCCCACTCACATGTCTCCACATGTACAATTTAGTGATCACATTGTTTATGTCATATACAAAAGTGGGCTACATCTATAGTGTCCCCAAGATAAGGTACTCAACCTTATCCTTATACTATAGATCATTTTGACTATATACTTGAACTTGATCCACTTTTATGTCTCTACATATAGTTCAAGTAATTATACTATAGTCAGAGTGTTCTTAGTTTATTGGATTTAGATTAATAATCGTAAAGTTCACTTTATTCAATAACAATCTTTATTGAATAAACAACAATAATAAATTTATTGATAATAGAATATGTTTTTGTTTACAAACTATGAGTTCTAGGACATAAAACCCAATATCAACATCATCAAATTTTGACTTTCGTCACCATACTTTTTCAAATATTGACCGAAAACTCATATATTTTGTAGATTTTTGGAAAGAACGAGATTAAGGTTTTCATGCTAAGGTTTCACATTGTCAGGTAATTATATCAATGTTACACAATTTTAGGGTTTTTGCGCTAGGGTTTCATATCGTCAGGTCCTAAATTCAATAATAAAAGGTTTTTTCTCTTGAATTTTTTGTTCGGTAAAATTTCTTGTGTATATAGAAAGTGTCTAACAAAAGAAATTATGTTTACGGAAATACTTAAAATCACCTAAAAAACTCGCTAATTGTAGCTGCACAAAAAATATCTCAAAGTTAGCACGACGATGAAAATATATATTTTGTTGTCTTTTTAATGCTCAATGTTTCAAAATCAATAAAACAATAGGGTTTTGCATTACCAGTTTATGAATTCAATGTTACAGTGTTTTTTTCTACTTGATTTTTGCTTTATTACTATTTTAGAAATGCCCACAGTTTTGCCAATTGTAACCTCACCAAAAAAATTTCACAAAAATATCTTGACAGTGAAACTATTTATTTATTATCGCTATACCTTTTCAAAATATTGATCGAAAATTGGTTTTTGCAGAGATTTTTGGAAACCAAGAATTTAGGGTTTTCGCGTTAGGGTTTTCGAGCTAGGTTTCACATTGTCAAGTAATTAATTCAATTCTACACCGTTTTTTTATTCTTAATGCTCAAGTACTATTTCTTGTACATATAGAAAGAGTCTAGCACGAGAAATTTGGTTCTCGGAACTGCTTAAAATGATGTCGAAATTTCGTCAGTGGTAACCTAACGAAACCTATCTAAAAAATTACCAAAAAATGAACCTATTTTTTTTATGTTCTTTTACTTCTTATACATTTCAAAATCATCAAATTCTGACTTTATTCAAAGTAACATATCAAAATATCAACTGAAACTCAGTTTTTTTTCGATTATTTGAAACGACGCTATTAGGGTTTTTGCTCTAGGGTTTCGTATTGCCCCGTCAAAAATTCAATGATACAAGGTTTTTTTCTCTCTTGAATATTCATTTTATTTCTATTTCTTGTACATATAGAAAAGTCTAGCATGATAAATTTGGTTTTCAAAAATACTTAAAAGGATGTCAAAATACGTAAGTTAAAAACATCCTATTCTAGCCTAAGTCTAAGAAAATGAATACCACTATCCTATGTATGTGCCATGATCTCGAGTTGCAATGCTGTCATCAGCTGTACAGGAACGCCTTGCCTTAACATGAAAAATGTAGTAGCACATGGCTTGGGTATTTAAAGGAATATTCAGTAAGTGACCCCACTATTAGGGGTTAATGCAAGAACATGTGAATGTAATGACGGGACCTATCTTTTCAATCTATTTTCCTACGGTACTGTCTTAATGGACAATTTGGACGTGTACTATATACTCTACACACAGCCCATACGTGCGAGTATGGGCTCACCAGTCAATTTGCACACCATTGAGCCACTTTC